TCTTAGCGCAAATCCATCGTTGAGCGGGCCGTATTGAATAGAGGGACGCCGTAAATAAGCAGCAGATCATCCAGTCCAACTATGCGCTAGGCGGCCCACCCCGGATGATTTGCAGAGACCCACTATAGGGCGCAAAGACTTCTGATATGTGAAGTACCAGTTTGTGTAGAATATTGGAAGACCGATATCATTATCTTAATAAAGTATATTTCTGGCGAATCTCTAAGTAGAACTTGGCCGACACTCTCTACTGCCTGGAAAGAGAATATAATATAATAGAATATTAACTATCTACTATACCTTCGCAATCTCTATTTTGATTATATACAAGCGCTCGGTAGTTGTTCTATTTACCCTAACTTTCTGTTTCCGAATAACGATTCGTTTCCCCATAGTCCTCTGGTATCTGATAACGAACTATGGGCAGAAATGGAGTAAGGGCTGAAAGAAACTGCTATATTTATACAATTTCGAAGTCGTATACTCCCTGTTATATCCTGTATCTTTACACATAGCGACCTAACTAATACCAACATTATAGCTGAGAATGGTTCTCTTCCTGATATTATTAAATTGGGAGCTTTCTAGATACGTTCTAGTATACTGAGAGTATACTTATCTCTCAGTTCCTGATCGTGAGGAGGGTAGAGAGTAGAAGGGTTTGTTCGGAAGATAAGTATAATATATATCGTGGTGATGATTTTATGGGAATTTGGAAAATCACGGTCAAACGCGAGAGGTTGGATGGATAGCATAAGAGAGCTGTGTGTCATGTCAACTAGATCATCTCAAATCATCTTGCCTTTGAAGATTTACCAGCAGCGCCTAGTCCACAGCCAGCGTTGAAAAGGCTGGATTAGAGCTGTCACTTGGGGTCATCTACCGGGCCTGTGCAGGTTCATTTTAGCGTAATAGATGAAGCAGGCTTTGGAGAGAAGAAGAGAACAGTAATTTGGTCAGTAATGCGCAGCATGGCTTTGCAAGGGAGCATATTGAGATTGGACTAGCCAAAGATCTATTGCCTCGCTTGGTCCCTTTGGGTTGGAGGTTGTGAACACCACTCAAGAGAGAAAACAGAACTCGGGCCGTGGTAACTGTCCCTGAAGAAGCTCCTGCAAGGTCATTTATCCTCTAAAATAAAATAGACTCGGTTGACACTATAGTTCCCTGTGGCCGGTCTGATCATTTCGTAACACTGGAGACTGCGGAAAAAGCAGCCGAGTTCATGGCCCGGATCCTATCTTCTTCAGATAATTCATAGTCATGGAGGTGCATTGTTTTATCAGTAGGAATCATATTTCTAAGAGTCTAGGCCTCTCTATATACTTTTGAAGAAACCATCATTGATACATTCGTCATCGAACAGTCATTGCAAGACAGGACGCGCCTAAGACAAAAGGTCTCTCCTATCCAGAATCTCTTCTCATGGACCGATCACATCGAGATGGGGATATGACGCAGTGGAGATAGAAAGGAAGTGCATGATGTCTAATAAATTTTGATGTTCTAATAAATCCATTGGGAAGAAGGAGCAAAGCATTAACCGTGAGGTGCGTCTGGAGATAAGAGGAAAATACGTTATATATTACCGACGAAAGATTTAAGCAGCCTGCACAGCACCGCGGACGGCGTTCTGGCCGCCGACTTCGCGAGCGGTGATCTGCAGACCCAGGTCGGCGTTGACGTGGACCATCAGCTCGACCTTGCTGCCGGCCTTAACGCCCTTGACGGCAAGCTCGGCAATGGGCTTCTCGGTCTTCCAGACGATCTCACGGATCTCTTCCTCCTCATCCTCATCGGAGTCGAAGTCGGAGTCATCCTCATCGTCCTCAGTCTTGGGCTTCTCCTCCTTGGGCTTAGGCTCAGGCTTGGTAACCTTGATCTCGCGGACACCCTCGCAGACGCGAATGAAGACATCGCCACCGGCCTTGGGAGCATCGTACTGAGCGACACGGCGAGCGGGGAGGGCAGTTTCAGTGTTCAGGAGAGGCTGGAACTCGACGGTCTCACCGGAGGTGAACTCGACACCGATAGCGTTCTTCAGGTGAGGAGTGGCAGTGACCATGGGGTGGATAGACTGCTCAATGTCCTCCTGCTCAAACTCCTGGATAAGAGAGGCCTGGATGGCGGCACCCCTGGGGGCCAGCTCAGCGGGGTTGATGGCGCCAGTGAAGGTCGAAGGGGCAAGGATCTTAGTCTTCTCGGAGAAAATGTTGCGGGCAAGCTGGGCGATCTTGGGGGTGTGCGAAGCACCACCAGCGAAGATAACCTAAACCTTAGTTAGAACATAACTTCTTGTACTGCTATTGATCCTGCGAAATAACACGAGGGACTAACCTCATCAATGTCCAAGACATCCAACCCAGCCTTCTGGATAACCTGCTCAATCAAGCCGGTGAACTGGGCGAAGGTCTTGCCGGAGAGAAGCTCGTAGCGAGTACGGTTGACGGTAGAGCCGAAGTCAATGCCATCTGCGAGACTCTCAATGCTCAAGCTGGCGTTGGTACCCAAGCTCAAGGTCTTGCGAGCACCCTCACCCTCAAGCTTCAACTTGGCGAGACCACGAGCGTTCTCGCGAGGATCAGTCTTGTGCTTCTTGATGAATTCCTTAGCGAAGTGGTCGATGATGATCTTG